TGGTCAAGCTATAGGCGAGCTACTGAAAACCTGCTCCTGAGCTACCTGTTGGAGACCCCTGGTCTAAGGTTTCCACTTTCAAACGTTTAGTCATGCCTTTCAAACAACTTGGCTCTACTATTTTCAGAATAATTCTGCTGAATGGGTACAGCTGACCATGAGTGGCCTTCATTCAGTACGGAGACATTTTTATCTAAAGGGCTCGTCCAGATGTAAATACTTCCTCTTGCATATTTTTAAAATCTCATTTTCTAAAGCGGACATTAATTACGTCAGAGTCCCCATAACTTCCACAGAGGACACAATGGGAAGCATCTGAGTTGATGGAGCCTAATGAAGGAGCCTTAATGGTTTTCTGCCATTCAACCAGACCTCTCAGGGCTAAAAAGGAAAAGCGAAAGTGGCCGCAGCATCTCTGCAGATACACTCAGAAGACAAAGCAAAAAAAAACATCAAAGATGCAGAAAATAAATTTAATGAGCTAAATGCAAATTTGTAAATAACTCAAATGATTGAACATGATGAAATGTGTGTCTGTAAATAAAATCAATGATACTCATATTAGAGTATAAAGTAGTGCTTTGAAACAGCTATATTTACTGTGATGGAAACACTGCTTAGCAATCAGGTTTTTGCCATGTCAACAAGTTGTATAGGCACATATTATCGATGGTATATCATTAATGGAAATTTGTTTAGAAGGTGTTTTCTGCATTGTGCACTGTTTTCAAACATTTAAAATACAAACCTGATGTATATCGATGCTTCCTGATTGATACAAGAATTGAACTGGCAATAAGAATGAATTTGAGTTGCATTTAAATTCCGATGAAGAATTCATTTTTACATACTATAAATTAAAAGCTACCACACACATTTAATCCTCACTCTGAAGGCTGCAGGATGTTTTACTTCATGTCAAGTATTATTCTACAATTCAACTATTAATTTAGCAGACGCTTTTATCCAAAGCGACGGACATCAGAGAGTAAGAACAACACGAGCAAAGAACTAGAGAGAGAAGGAAACAACGTCAGGAAGTGAAAATAAACAGCTTTAATCTGATCGGACACACAGGTGCTGACAGGCAGAGCACAACATCGACAGCCTTTTCTTGACAGTTCTAGTCAGCATCAAAGCTGTCCTAAGTATCTTCATCAACATCATCAGAAATCATTATCATCATTAGTCTCATTAAGTGTGTGTTCATAAAGAGCTGGGTCTTTAGCTTTTTCTTAGAGGTGCAAAATGACTCTGCAGATCAAATGGAGTTTGGTAATTCGTTCCACCACCGGGGGGCGACAGAGGAGTTAGGGCCCTGTAGTTAAGCCCGGATTGGACGCCTGTCATTAGAAGAGCGTAGTGGGTGGGAGGAAGTTTAGACCTGGATGATAGAGTTCAGGAAAGGAGGAGCCGTTTTAATATCGATGTTTTGTATCGTGTCAATCTCCACAAAAGAGGTCAAAATCCTCCAGCTACACTTGTAGTATGAAGATAACCTTTTTTAACAAATTAGAAAGACGCGTTTGGATTGTGGCCTTCATCGGAATCATCCACAAAAGGGAAGCCTTGAAAAGGTCAGAATCTGGAACTAACTATTAAAAAGAATAACAACGTATTTAATCATTTATAAATCCTCTCTGACTTTTTGAGCGATTGTCAAACTACATATAAAGAAAATTGAGCCAAAATGTGCATCTGTTCTGGTGACCTACCCAGCATGACCACAAGGAAGAAACTTTAAAAGTTTGTTTTTTTTTGACAATGGGACTCTGAGAGGGTGAAGGCAAACAAAAAGAGTTATAGGTTTTATGTGACGCACTTGTTCCATAATAAACTACAAGAAGCTGCAAAACTATGGACAAGTTCATACTTAAATTATTTCCAAATGTTCCTGAATCCACATTTGCCGTCTAGGTGTTTGAGTTATTCTCATGCAGTGCCAAGTTTTAAAATAGAGAGCATATGCACTTCTTATCTTGAGGACACAAACAAGTTGTTTTGCACGACTCTCCACAGGAGTGTGGATAACACTGCTGTCCATTTTCTGCATCTGAATTGATTGACCTTTGAAACAGCCTGAGGCACCTGCAGACCACGGGGACAGAGCTTAGACAGGTGGAGGATGAGTACTCGGTGTCCTCGACTTTTAATAAAGTGAGGAATGAAACTCAAAACTTTCTCAACAATAATGCATTTTTACTGCAAGTTCATTCAATTAAACACTCAACAACTTAAGCATTGCACATGCTGCAAGGTCGTTTAATCAGATGAACCAGATGTTTAGAAACCAAAAGTCCCAAAATCTCTACGAATTTATGTGTTCAAGTGAGCTACCATATTATAACAGATAAAGTAATCATTAAAGGTCACATATTATTCTCCTTTTCAAAAAGTTTAAACAAGTCTCAGAGGTTCCCAAAACATGTCTGCGAGTTGTTTTTTTTAAAACAATAATCCACTCTGATCCTGTATTTGATCATGCCTATAAACCCCTCTATTTCAGCCCTGCTCAGAACAGGCTGTTTCTGTGTCTGTACCTTTAAATATGTAAATGAGCTGTGTCTGACCACGCCCCCTCTCTGAAGGGCTCGAATGGCTCGGGTTTTCTCGCTCCATGCACTATTATTTACGGTGAGAAGTCAGACTCAGAGGTCAGAACAAACACCTAGCTGTGGGAGTGTCACCCACTTGGGGGAGGGGCTACTGCCCTTTGTGATGTCATGAAGGGAACATCTCCAAACGGCCTGTTTGAGCACACATTTTCTGAAAAGTGGAGCAGGTAAAAGACAGAGAGGATGGACTTTTCTCATAATAGAGGTGTTTGTAGACAGACTAGAGACACATATTAGCGTTCAGTAAACTTGGTAAAGTATATTTGGAATAATATGTGACCTTTAAGTCTCTTTCTAGCTGACATAACTGCTGGATATTGTTGCAAAATTGAAACAACAGCTGAAGTTTGACAATGCTTAATTGTGTAACCTCATACAAACTCCAGGCTAACAATCATGTAAACTAATGAAAGCTCCTGGTTATGTTAGCATTGAGCAACCTCCTATACCTTAAATAAAAGATATATAGTCCTACTTCAAACAAGCGACCATTACACAGCAGTTATTTTAACCACCATCCCATCGTTAGTTAACACTAACATTTGAAAATACTTGCTCAAAGTGTTTTAGCTACTGTTAGACAACAATAGCTATACTTAGCATTAAAGCAATTTATAGCTACATCACATCTGGTAGTGTTTAAAATTCCTTTCATGTACATCCGTGGCACTTAATATTGAAAAATCAACCTGGACAACTTTTTTACCGTTTCCTTTAATGCCCTCTAGACGGCGCCATCTTGCTGTATCTGTTTACTGAATACATTGACGGCGTTGTATTTATTTACTTTTATAGATCTGGTTTCTCACTTGGCGAAGTGTTCATCTGTTCATCTGTTGTTCCTGGCATTTGAATGTAATTGTCTGAATGCTGCTGTGACTGTTTGTTTCCTTGAAAATTGTCCTGACATCTTTTAATGACTCTGGGATTAATTAAGTCGTCTGAATCTTAGCAGGGTGCGACCCAGCAGTCTACTTAGAAATTGGACCCCAATCTTTCATCTGAATTCTCTTTAATTCAGTCCAGACGTCCCTTTCTCTTTGCCTTTGAAGAAAACAGATATTCAAACTCTTCTATTCCTTCTATCTGTTGCTATCATGCTGTTAATTGCGGCAGCAGTGATTGACTTAAAGGCCAGGACTAACTTCTGTATATTTCAAGATGCTTTGATCATTTTTTTTTAATTATTATTATTAGAACTGTGGTTTCTATTAATGACCTGCTCAGCACAGGGGATCTGTTGTCGGTGACATCTCTAAATGCTGCAGTCTTCTAAACTGAATTGTCACCCCAGGAGTTGTTTGAACCTTGAATCCTGTGGGGAACTATCTTTGACGATCATTTCCTGTACATGTAGTAATGTCAAAGTCTGACCCTGCTCTCTCTTAACAGTCAATCATAACTTATTGTGGAAAATTTAAATGAGCGCTGTTCTAGCAGCTTTAGCGCTCAGTCACTACATCTGACACCTACCTATGTCAGGGGTTACATACATTCAAAATGATGAAGAAATTATCATTTTGTGTTTGTTTCTATACTATAGGTCCTATAAAGGCATCAAAATTAAAGCTCCTGTAAGAACTTTGGGTTTTGTTGGTTTTGGCACCCCCTGTGGACAAAGCAGTATGTCTTATATCTGCTGATTTTGTCCTGTTCATGTGTTTGAAATTGTTTAGCAAACCAAAAAAAATCCTTTTCTGTCAAATGTGTCACTTACTTCAAATATTTTCTGTCTCGTCTGCATGTTGCTATCACTTTGCTGACACTTAGGCAGCAATCTCAGGCATTAAAAATAATAATATGAAAACAATCAATGTTGTTGCTGATGGTTTCGTTTGTTTTTCCAGATCATTTTGAGGCACTGATTTTTATTTCAGTCTGTTTTATTATCAGATTTTTTAAAAAAAAACCTTGCACTGGAGCTTTAACTTCTGTTTCACAAACAGCAAAACAATCATCACAGCTGTTAAAACCTTTGTTTGATTTTACAGATAGATACCGAGAACACAATATGGCTCAAGTGCAAAATCTGATTTTTTTTGTTAGCAGTTAACTGTCCTGTTTTACTTGCAAAAGACATAAAAGTGTCTGGTGAATATTACAGGCATGGAGCAAATTAGCATAAAAAGATGTTAACATTTGAGACATTTTTATACAAGATGACGTCAGCTCTCTGTCGTTTTAGCAGCTTTTGTCATCAGCTGACACTCTTTCTCTCTCAACTTGCTTGTCCATCTTTTGCTCACGTCAAACCACGTAATTGGTTTGGAAAGGAAGAGGGAGAGGGAGAGGGAGGGGTTGGGGTCTACGGTGGGTGACAGGCAGCGACCATGTCCGTTGGTTGTTACCGGTCCTGTCTCTATAAAAAGCCGCTGTGGTCGCGGAGCAGCTCAGACTCTCTCTCCGCTCAGGTGCGCCCTGCTGACAGAGATGCGCGTCATGATGGAGCGCACATTCCGGGAGCAGCTCTTCTTTCTGGTGTTGTGTCTGTCCGTCCTCAAGGGAGACTCCAGATACATCGAGGTAAGTTCTCCACACTAACTTCTCTCCTCATTAACTTATATGAAACGAAGTCCCACATAAACATTTTTTTTTTTGCAGAGCAACGAGATCTCAAAAGATGAATTATATTCATTTTTCAACCCGGAACTGAAAAGAGAAACACCTGAAGAGTTGATGTACCGCCGACCTTTACGTAAGTCATGAGAAATGTACCTCTATTATTTATTTTGCAAACATATCTCAGAGGTCGTCAAGCTGCATGAGAGCAAAATGAACGGAAATGTTGTTTATTTATATCCCACGCACCCTGAAAAAAAACCATTTTAACATATAATTTGGTCTTTTTATTTATAAAGGTTCCTTATATTATGAAAGAGACCTTTTTAATATTTAATGTGTTGTACTAAAGTTAGCTTATATCATTTAGACTTTCTCTCTGTTCTTCAGTTGTCCTGTTTTTATTTGGTTTCCTGCTAAACATGTAAAATAATTAAGATAAAAAAGGAGAAAAAATATTGCATGAAGCAGGAAAAGGGATGACTTTTTGCAATACCGGGTCTTTGTAATATAGCAATAAGTAAGGTCTTTTACCTGCTTTTTGTAAAGTGTCTTGAGATAACACTTGTTATGAGTTGACGCTATACAAATAAATTGAATTGAATTGAATTAGATGATATAACTAATGTTTATAATTTGTTTTATTGTCTTAAATGTTCGTAAATCGTACAAACCTGTGATTCTCCCTCAGGCTGTCTGGACATGGTTGCAGTTGAGGGTCAGTTCACCTTCACAGCCGAGCGTCCTCAGCTCAGCTGCGCTGCCTTCTTCATGGCAGAGCCCAACGAAGTGATCAGTGTGGATTATGACAACGTCGACATCGACTGCAGTGGAGGAGACTTCATCACGGTAAACTAACAACTTGTTTTACAAATGAACATGCATGTACAGATCTTGAAACCTCGAGTTAACATATCAAATAGAACAGGTTAAATCTTTAAGCGATGCTGCAAAGAAACTGCTTTCTCTGTCAGTGGTATGAATGTGAAAGAAATCTGTCGGGATAGAAATGGAGTTTTTCAACACAGCGTAGGTTTTTTCATTACATCTAATGACGTCTAAGCTAAACAACACTTCCAAAGATTAGACAGAAAGCTCCTTTGCCATAAGGCAACCATAGCCTTAATAACCTGCTTACTATAAGTGACCTTCTCTTTTAATCTCCCCCTCCATGTTTGCATGCTGCTCTATCCCTTTGAGTGAAACATGCTATCTAAAGAAAAGATCAACCAGAATATATCCTGTGAATCAGAGGTCCAACACTTTCTCCTCCTCCTCCTCCTCCCGGTCTCTGTGCCTCATGCAGGTGTTTGACGGCTGGGTGATGAAGGGAGAGAAGTTCCCCAGCTCTCAGGATCACCCGCTGCCCGTGTACGAGCGTTATGTGGATTACTGCGACTCGGGTTCACTGAGGAGAACGGTGCGCTCCTCTCAGAACGTGGCCATGGTCTTCTTTCGTATTCACAACGCCGGCAGCAGCTTCACCCTGACAGTCAGGAAGCACATCAACCCTTTCCGTAAGTGAGAGACAGACACATTCAGAAACTATGAAATGCACATAGGCATGCAAATGATCAAGCTGTGTCATTATTTGTGCAGAATGTGTATTCTTCACTTCAGTCACTGATTGCACTTACAGGGGATGGTTTACCACCAGTTTGTTCCAGGTGGCAAATGTTGTCTTTCAGTAATATGCAATGACAAAAATAAAAGCTAAATCTAAGGGCTACATCTTAGCAAGAAGTTAAGATTTGTCTAATAAACCTGCAGACATTTTGTGGGGGAAATCCTCAACAACTTTCCCATTTTGCTTAAATCACCACATCATTGTCTTTAATTAAAATGAGAGGAAGATTTTCTAATTTGTCTTTCAAAAAAAAGAAGTCACAACATATAAAAACATCCTCCTTCGATTTTGGACATTTATGTGGACTTTTTTGGTCTCTTTTAAATAGGCGGAAATAGATGGGCCTACATTATCATTATATACTAGCTGACGTCACCATGACAACATCGAAAAACAAAAACAGTTGTGTCTCCTCAAGGATATTTAATACTTTAACCAGTTAAAACAGTTAATGTTGCTCTCTCTGCAGATAACCAATGAGGAACAAGATATAGTTTGAGCATTAAGTTGACGTGCCCCGTATCAATTTATGCTTAAAAATAACCAAATGACTTTTAGCTGGCGTCCTTTCTCATCTTTCACATTATGGCCATTCCAAGGAATAGGGGGAAAGTGAGCTGGCGTTTAAATGTCTGTCCAATGAATGACAATATCTGACTTCATCATTCGTTGCTTTAACCTTTTGGTCTGTCTCATGAAAACCTCCTGCAGTTTTTGCAGTACTTGCCTTTGACTTTTCTCTGATTTTTTTGACTTCTTGCAGCCTGCAATGTCATCTCCCAGTCACCAGAGGGCAGTTACACGATGGTGATCCCGCAGCAGCACAGGAACTGCAGCTTCTCCATCATCTATCCAGTGGAGATCGACGTTTCCGAGTTCAGCCTTGGACACTTGCACAACTTTCCCAAGGTAAACTAATAAAATAAACCGATTCTATTTTAAAGATAGACTTCATTTTGCCGCAGTCTGCTTGAATCTCCTCGAGGTTTCCACTGATAGATACAACGGAGCTACATTTTTTCAGGGTGTTCAAAGCAGCCACAAAACGACATAAAGAAAAAAATATCAACGTCAATGTTATTCCAGGAACAGATCCTTATTTACATAGTTATACATGTATGCTAAAGTTGATGACTTTTAACTGAAACGTGCCAGAAAGATCTTAATGTTTTACTCTGGAGATCACTGTTCAGGTCCTGTGTGAAACCAAAGTTCACAACAGTTGGAAGAATAACAGCAAGTTGGAAACATTGCGAGATAGTCACACAGTATTTGGTCAAAGAGGTGTAAAACCCAAAGTATTTAAGGAATAATAAGTACATTTAAGGAGAAGGTCATGGTTTAAAAATGTCATACAGTGTTCAGAAGTCATGGTCATGTCAAGAAAAAGGACATCACTTGTATTGTATATATAAATTATATAAACAAAACTGAGTATTTCATGAACTGTTGTGAGACCAGTTTGTGCTGGTGTCTCCCTGTCACTGTGGTAAAATGAATGTCCTACCTCTGATTCCTTTCCAATGGATACTCTACGACTGGATCTGTCTCCTTTTTTATTGAAGTCAAGATTTGGCTGTTAAAATACTTGATTTGCTCAAAACCAAATTTCCTTATCAGCCTACATCAGTCTAATTTATTTACCTGTAAGACACAAGTTTATTCAAGTTTTCTGTAGCAATGGCTTCAGTTTGACATTCAAACATTTGTAGCATAAAACTTTTTTTTAATGTTGTAAGTTGTCATTGGTTTTATTGGACAGGCTCTTAGTCAGCTATCATTTGGGAAGATATAAACACAGTGAGCTTAGGTTAGTGTCAGCTCTGCTCTGGACCACTAGAGGATAAACTGCTTCACTAAATGTTTTTTTTATCATTTTTTGGGGGAAAAGAAGTAGACCACTGGAAAGTAAAAACCTTGTGAACAATGAACCAGTGATTTGAGGGATAAGTCGACCAAACCATTAAACATTACCACCTTGATTGGCACCAGAGTTTCTAGTGTGTTAAACTTGTTATTGATATTTAATAATGTTGGTCTGCAATGCTGGTCAATGTTGTGTCTGAGCTGCAACACAGCCAGTCACCTCTAGCCAGGGCCGTAGCTCCGGTTAATGGCAACTTTCAGCACGCCTGGTGTCAACCAGCAAAGTGGACGGATGTCGTCTAATGGTACGGAGCGGTTTGGCAGGAGAGAATGGTGTTAGTTAAGTTGAAGTTATATGAAGGTTGTATCAGGTTAAACTGGCAGATAAGACTTCAGTCGGGGAAATGCATAACCAGCACAGGCGTGTAGACATTAACCTGCAAATAGGACCAAGTGTTGTCGACATTGTAGACAAACAAACAAGCTAGCGGCAGCTCGGTTCACAGCCTCTTCCGTCATCCTGTGCCCACCAAAGAGAGCAGCAGAAACACCGATTCATTTCTCAAATGCCTAATCCAGTCAGTTTTCTGGTTTTCATTATGGATTTGTGTTTGTGTGGAGTAGGAGACCTCTGCATATCATTTGGATCCAGTTAAAAGAAAGGGATGAACAATGATCAAGTTAAAGACTCATTTTAAAAGTTTACATCCAGAGATGCTGTCGCTCCAGCACAAAGCTTTAGACATTTGGCGGAAAAAAAAAAAGTGACATGTTATGAAGCCCATGTGTTGATTTCCACAGAGATCTCTGCCTGGCTGTGCAGAATCGGGTGACTTTGTGCAGCTGCTCGGAGGAAATGGAATCGACACATCAAAGCTGCTGCCCATTACGGACCTCTGCATCTCCTTCACCGGACCCAGTGAGTACACATCACTCCCCTTCCTTTAACGTTATAAAAAAGCTATCCGGCTAAACTTACAATTTCTTCTTCTTTCCTCGACAGCTCACATGAAGATCGGCTGCGACAACACGGTGGTGAGGATGGTGTCCAGCGGGAAGTTTGTGAGCCGAGTGTCTTTCAGCTACAGGCTACTGGACAGCCAGGAGCTGCAGACGATCAAACTCAACAATGTGGAAGATTTCTGTTTCAATAACTGATCCAAACGGGATCCTCACGTGGCAAATGCATAAATCGACAGCAAAATTATTTGACTGCAATCAAGAGATCCACCTCGCCCCGCCCAACTGTACAGACACAATGTCTTAAGTCCAAAGACGTTGAACTAAAAGTGTATTAAAAGTGAAGATATGTACATTCTTTACAGCGATATTATGGTGGCCTCCAAAATTCACTGGCCTTTCATTTGCAGGTTTAATTTATTTTTTCCACCATTTTCACTCATTGTTTGTTGCCTAATAAAGCTGAATGAAGTGTCCTTTGTGTTTGGTGGAACTGCTATTGCTTTATTCTTTTGTTATGTTTGGGTTTTTTGGTCATTATTCTTGCAAAGGAATGGTGCTAAAATGAATGTTCTACCTACTGTTTTTGTTTTGTTGAATGATTCATGATGTGCTGAGTTATTTCCTGCCACAGATGTCACAGAAGGCAGTATTTCGGGGTGTTCAATAAAATAAATAAAAAAGTGTTCATTGCCATTATGCAGTTAAATTTGTATAAAAACCTTTTTGTAATAAAATTATACTGCATGACAACGCACTCATCTCTGGTTTCCACTCAAATCTTTTCTGTTTTCCGTTAGAAAATTGCTCCACAAAAGACAAACAAAAGGGAGACTTTCCCTTTAAATATGATATACTACACAGTCCTCATCATTAACTTTTAAATTATTACATTTAATCTCAACAAAAAGTGGAAGAAATGTAAATGTAAATGCACAAGTTAAAATGGAAAATGTTGACATTTTGCACTAAAAAGCTTGAAGGTTTTTATTGCTCAATCTTTACAGAGGACACTTTAGTTTGGATGGTGAGACAAAATATTGATACAGGAATGTATGATCGGCCTAGTGTGATACAATTATTGAAATGTGGGGTCAAATATCAATATTTAAATTTTCAAAGAATGACTATCTCAACATATTTCCCAGGCAATTTGCCTCACCTCTTCACCACTTCATGACTCCTCACGGTGATGCTTATGACATAAATGAGGGCAGTGGCGATTCTAGAGTCTGTTGGGGGACTCGGCGAAAATCAATTGTGGGGCCCTTCACTATTATGTTCAATCAAGACTCTACATTTTCTTTGTTGGCTTTCATTGACAGACTTTGGTTTTTCACAGAGACGCAGTGAGTGCTGTCAGATTGGGGCCCCTTTAGGGAGGTTACCTAATCCTACTGTCATTGCATATTTTGGTCAGGTGCATTGGTCTTAAGTTTGTCAAGCCTCAGGGGCCTCCAACTGGTCTGGGGCCCTACGCAGTTGAGTGCCTAGCCTGTTGACAAGCAGCGCCTCTGAATGAGGGTAACATGGGAAAGAAGCGATTTGACCAAAGATGACATTGACAGCGGGATAAAAGACGAAGAAGACATCGGTGAAAAGTAAGGATTTAACATGAATAGAGTTTAAACTGACACCAACATGAATAAATACATTAATCCTGCACTTCACCTTTTAAGAGGCCTTTAGGATTCTAAAGTTAATCACATGTTGTGAAGTATCATATGATTGTCTCGTAATTATCATGATCCTGGGCCATCCATCGAGTGTATCGGGAGTTACACTGCGATTACCACCGCAGCAAAATGATGCACCTGTTTCTGAATTTGACATTCAAATCCTTCTGTTGAAGTTTTTCTGAGGTGGAGTCATATGCACTGTAACAAAAATCAAGTTTTAGGCATGGTAATGATCAGCATGTTCAATTAGCATCCAGTCATTAATGACTCTTCTGAAGGACTGTTTTTGGTTATTTTCCATTTACATTGAATACACATCTATCCACTCTTTAATGACAGATGTTCAATATTTATGTAAATATGAACTCAGAGTTTGCAGGCTCATATTCTGGTAGTCAACCTCTACAGTCAGGGGAGCACATGCCATTTCATAACCCCTTCATATGTGGGATGATGTCACTGACTGTGGTATATAACTGGCCTTCGGTGTCGCTTCAGAGGGAACAGCAGGCGATATCTCTGAAAATAACGACTTGAATGGTGCAAACCAATGGGGCGACCAGTGATTAAAGGCCTGCAGGTGTATTATCAACAACAGACACCTGGAGCCACAGCTGGTGATGAACGACAATGTGATGATGACCCATGTCTTTACTGCAGAGCGCTGTGTGTGTGTGTGAGGATGTTCATACACGCTGTAGTAAATAAGAGGCACTGGTGGTCTTCCACTAATTGAAGTTGAATATCTCCGAAAAAAGAAGGTGAGAACAGAGCAGGACTTCTCTTCTTATGATTCAATAATATAAATAATATAATCTATATGTGGTGGGAGCAGGTGATCACAGTTAGTTTGGCACCCAAGGGAAAATCACTCACTGGGGAAAATTCTAAAGAAGGATTTCTAGTAGAGATGGGAGCGATCCGATTTAATATCTGTATCGAGTCTGATATTGAAATAATTTATGTATCTGATATCGAACATTGATACGCTATTGATCCCCAGCAAGGACATTGTGGAACTTTTTTCATAAAACCGAAAAGTCCTTGAGACGGTAAGATTTGTGTCGTCCAGACTGATGATTCAGGCCTTTGTTGTTTAGGAGCTTTCTGTTGTACTGTGATACTCACTCAGCCAACTCTTATGTTTTTGGTTAGTCAGTGTTCACTGAAAAAAAGGCTAATGACACATAATGAAATCAACAAGCAGAAACATGGTCTACAGGTGATGTTCTTAAAACTGATACATTAAAATACATTTGATAAAGTATCAGTTGAGAGCTGGTTCTATCATGTCATGTTCTTTCAAAATATGAAACGACTGAAATGTTGCGCAGACGAAGTTCTGATTGTGATGATGCCACTTTGATTGAACTCGTTTGTTACTCTTCAGATTGTGAAAAAAATCAACCGTGACATTTGAATCTGGCCTTTCAGAGAGGCAGAATTATCAATAATCTGTCAATCACGCAGCAGGGGCTCAAAGGGAGAACAGACACTTTATATTTTTAGTGCTGTGCCTCTCAAAATATCAAACCTTTGTATTTATGGGAACAAAATTATAAATCATGACATCTGTGACCTTTAGAAACAGTAGACTATAAGTTTGTGTAATTAGCTCTTAATGTGTCCTTTTAAGATTCATGATGTGTCTACACTTTTCCACGGATATTTTTAACCTCATATCGTTTTTTTTACCATTTAAGTAATCAGGAGAGTATTTTATGAATCACAGGTGACTCTCTAAACAATGCCTCAGAAACCCCTCTTTTTCCAGTGTTGGAGACGGACTGCAGGACGGCATTTTTCACTGGTGTAGTTGTCACTATCCCCAGAGGAGTGACCACACAGTGTTCCAGGATCAAACAAGCTGCTGTGGAAAATCAGGGCCCTCACGTGTTGTGCTTCATAACAGGATCGTCATCCATCTGTTAGCGAGCTGATCCGGAGGTGTTCTCACATATAATGATGTTTCACACAAGTGTGAAAAGCTCTCTTAAATGTCCCCTAAACGCAGAGCTGTTCTCGCTAAGTGTGAGAAATCCCTGAGGCCGGATTGTTCTTATTTGGTGACATTTTCATCTACCTGCGATTACCTGGCTTTTGTCTCATTATTTATTTTAAATTACTGAGGTGAAAAAAATCTGTTATTCAAAGTCATTATTCTTTTCTCAGCAACAATTGGTCGGCAGATCATTCACATATCTTGCACTAACGTTTATCTTAATTTAATTTGCTGAACTGTCACTTTAACTTGTTTATAATAAGTTAACAGTGCAGCTTCAGATATACTACACCTGTGGTTCCCAATGTGGGAGTCTTGACCACCTCTTAGTTATGCTGCTGTAAGCTTAGACTACCAGGGAACTGTGCACCTTGAGCTTCTATCTCTCTCCCTCGCTCACTCTTTCTGTGCATTCTGAAGCAAGCATCATGTGAGTTCAAGAAAAATCTGCCGTTTGATAACTTGATCCATAAATGTGTCCAATCCTGTCACAGCCATGAACTTGAAACTTTAATTGAAAAAGGATAATATCAAGAATTGAAACTATTTTCTAAATGTCATCAGTTTACATCATTTAGTTTCATCTGCAGGTGTCTGATTGGATCAGTCTTCTTTTTATTTTCCGCTCTGCTATTTCTTTTATATGCTAATTGTTTGATTCTTGTTCATTTCTTTTAAAATTCTGTTGTTTTTTGCATGAAAATCTAATTCTAATTTCTTTTAGTTTACTAGAAGTAAGTTAAGCTGAATATAGACCATCAGACAAAAACACAACAACACTAATTAAGTCCAGACAGATGTACTCGCACTATTAATATGAAGCCCACTTAAACCCCCCTACAGCTGTGTAACCTTTCTTCACTGTCCACAAGGTCCATAACACATTACATTTTCACTCAATTTTCACCTCATCACGGTCAGCTGAGACTCTAATTAATCTAAGAAAACACTAGGACCCTTAAACACACACACACACACACACACACACACACACACGAGTCACTCCTAATGAGGAGTTATGACACTGACAGTGACGCACAGAGTGACGGCGGGGGGGGGGGACAGCAAGTGGGAGATAAATGCTGGAGGCGTTTTTCAAATACATTAATCACAGGCTGCACTTTTGATGAGTGACATTGGAAGTCGTGAGAAAACTACACTGAAAGAAGTGACATAAAGATCTTGACCGTGTCCGTCCTTTCTTCCTCCTTTCACCTTTTGGAAATGTTCCAATTCCTGTCAACAACTATATGTGTCCTTCCTGCTAATGTGTTTTATGTCCCTGGCATGTTTTAGATCACGCAGGGCTCTCTCACATGCAGGGAAACCAAACCTCTTTACACGGTAGGCTACGGTGAATCCAGATAATGTGATACAATAAGGTACTACAAAATATTGAAGAAACTGTCAATGTTGCCTGGTGGGTGCATGAATTGTGAAGAAATTAGCTGAGAAAGTAAAAGGAATCTTTCTGGAAGAGCAGGACGTTTTAGATACAAATGCATGATCGTTTCTTTTCCCTTCCAAAAAAAATTAAAATCAACATTTACTTTGACTTATGACTATTTTACTAAAAACCCCATCCTCCTTCTTTTGAGGTCCTAAAGAGACATGAACATTTTTCATAGTTACATTTGTTTTTTTCAAGGAGTCTTTTACCTTTTTACTCGTTGACTATCCAAGTTTTTAATCACCATTTTGTTGTGGGTCACGCCCCAATTTGTTCCCTTTTGTTCTCCTTACACATTACATTTCCTATCCTGTCCTCCTGTATTTGAGGAGCAGGCATGTTTAAAGAATCTCAAGCATCTTCTCCCAGGCTTATATTACGTCATAATTACAATTAAATTGACACAGGAGATGCTCACATCAGTGACTCAAACTTTAGGATTTGCCGGGAAATGAGACACAAGAATAGTTTGTGTAGTGTCTACAAGTGGAGTGCACTGAGAATACAGCCTAAATATCTGCACTTTAAAATAATCAAATGACACCTATGATTGAGTACAACCTTTAGAAAATTAAAGTACATAACTACTGCATGGTATCAACCCGAGGGAAACGGGGGCATTATCCTGCTCGATTACAGACAATCGCACACAAACTGCATTGTTCCCGTGAGGAGTTTGTCTGAGCACCATCTGCGTTCATAAAAGCATCACAGTTGCCGTCATGTTTTGCTTCAGTAATTTTTCCTCCACGTCACCGCTGAAAATGTCATCACTAATTAAATGAATGTTTGTGAAACACTGAGGAAAACCCTCAGAAGATGCAGCTTGCGTCTTCACTTTTCGTTCTCCCAAAAGGTGAGAGTATCAGCATTTCTGCCCGAGGGGAGGACGAGTCAGTGTGAAATCGTTGATGCTGCTGGACCCAGGTGGTCTCTGCATTTTGGGATGGCCATGCGTCATCGAGACATGGCACACACACACACACACACACACACACACACACACACAGTCATTTCCCAGAAGAACAGCCTTTTTCTTTGCAGTGTGAGATGTCCAGGAAGTTAACACTAAACAACACATACTCTCACACACACACAAACATGCACAGGGGTGTTAAGAGACAAAGTACATTCCAGAAGATTTCATTAAGCTGCTTTATATTTCTTCTTCCCGATATTACAGATGGATTTTACAGAAAGAAAACATTTATTGAGGGAGGGCGGGTAGCCTAGTGGTTAGTGCGTGCACCCCAGCTGGTGGGACTCGAGCTTGTCACTCATTGTAGACAGTCATGACTCAGGATATACTTGATTTCTGCTGTATTTATTTATGTATTTATTTATCTTCCTTTAAACATAAAAATACAAATGTAGGATAAATTCAATGACAGTTTCCAGAGAAAACCATGATTTTATTTTCAGTTGCGAGGTTTACTTAAAAACAATGTCCTATTGGCTGCATCAGTTGAAACACAATATGCTGAAATACAGCCGTGAATATAAAGACAGAGTTTTGAAACTTGCTACTGAACTTGTTGTAAGCAATTATTCTATCACAGACAAAAACAAGGCGAGAAGTCGAGAAGTGCGCCAAAGCTGAAGGAAAAAATAACCAAAGTTGATTTTTAAGTTACAAACATCAGGCTACAAAAAAAACAAGTATAAGTTGGAACAGGTAGGTTTAAGGTGAGATCTGGAAGTCATCAGTTCAACGCTTAATGCTTTTACAATCAGTGACAGATAGCGTCTTTTTTCAAGTAAGCAGCAGTGTGTGAAATAGTAAAACATGTTAATGTACAAATGTTTGAACAAGAACAGGAATTCCCCTTTTTTCTTCAGTCTTAATAATTAAATTGTTGATATTTGAAAAATATTTTGTGCGTCTGACGTGTAAGGTGACAGAAAAAAAAACCAGTAGAGTCCAGTGGGGCAAAAAAAATACAGAATAGGCAACGTGCTAACCCTGTATTTCTTTATAGAAGTCAAAGTTGGATTACTTCACCATTCGGGAGTTACATCATACAAATGAGAGCATGAGAACACACTTGACAAAGGTTCAGAGGGACCCAAACTTTGGGATTTTTTTCTAATAAATTGGTGAAGCCGAGCAAGAGTAGTGAGCAGGATCTTTCCTTTTCAGTGTGATATTTTAATGTACTACATGTACTGTATGTATCTACTTCAAACACCTCCTTTAAAACATCACACACATAAAATGACTTATTTTCAAAGTTTCTTTGACTTGCCGTATTCAGACAAAAGGATAATCTTAATTCAAAATCAAACAAAGTGTTTTTTTGATGTCTTACCCGAACCAAAATGCTTGTGTTTTCTTTTTGTTGATTTAGCACAAGAATGCCTCGTTAGTCATAAAGAAGGATCGTGATGTGAGATAAAAAAAAAAAAAACAACATAAAATTCATACACGCTGACTTGATTTTTCTCCTGAACACAACGGTCTGTCTCCTGGTTTAAAGTGTAGAAGAAGAAGAAGCTGACATGAAACTGCTTTTGAGTTGTAGGATTTAAATGTAGTTCAAGTTGAAATGTATTACTTTGAAATATTTAATGAGCATCATAAAAAAAGGGGAACACGTGTCCTTGTACACCGTTCTATATATTATTTAAGAGCGACTATTTCACACACTGTCACAGCGTTTGGTTAAAATATGACTTTCACAAAGCTCTACAGTGTGAGACATTTACAGGGCGGTTTTAAGTGTGAAGACATTTTGACATTGTTAAAAAGATTTACAGATTTTCTGCGGACATCTTCTTGGGCTTCTTGTGCTGCTCCTGGAAGAAGTCGTTGCAGGCGACAGTCAGGGCGGCCACCAGGACGACAAACTCGTTGAAATCCACCTCGTTGTCTTTGTTCGAGTCCAAGTCGTTCATGATTTTCTCCACGAGCATCGGATCCTTCTGAGACTGAAAACCAAACGACAAAGATTATTCAACAAATGATTTTTGAGTGTCTTAAGGAATCCTGAATAACTTGGGACTTGTAGTAAGGACACTTTGGATCCCTCTCTGAGCTCCATCTGTCCGTGTACGATCACAACATTCACGCAGTAGTTTGATTGATCGCGGCGCTTCATATTGACTCGAGGTGAAAAAGCTGCCACCCATGTCCAGAGAGCAGAGTGATGTTTGTGCCAAATGAGCCGTGAGCTGCAGCTGATCACACACCACATTAAGTGCTTTGCTCATTTCCTCTAGGATTGAAAAACACGACACGGCTTTCCTTTTTCAAACCCTCAGACCTCTGAGGAAGCTGTGATCTTTATGTTGTGGCATTCATTAAAGTCCACATCTTAGCAAAAGGTTAGGGGGGGTTAGACCTTTTCTTTCCCTCTTGAATATAACATTTATTTTTTCCCTCACCCCCCACACACACACACACACACATATATTCAGAGGCAAAATACATTTAGGAGGCAAACCTAAGGATATAAGGATGCAGAACTACATGTCTTTTTTTTTTTTTTTTTTTTTTTTATGAGGCTAAGAATACATTTACAGGATGTTTCCCCTCTACTGTGTTACCTGATCAAGCTAAAAATGACACCACAACAATAATATACAATACAGCCGCATGTCAGGCTTTGCTTAGAGCATCCGGTCAATTTCAAAATAAAACACAATATATAGATTTGCGATCGTATTTTTCATAATTTTATCAACATTACGTCAAAACCGGCACCGAATGAACAACAAATCATCCTCAGGAAGACAAAACACGATCTTGTAGGTCTGCTGTGATGTGTGCGATCCACTGTGCTGACGTTGACTGACGGACCGCGGATTGGGGATAAGAATATTCACAAGTCAATAAAAGATGCTTGAGTACAGGAGTGCCAGTTGCCTAGCGGTTAGTACGAGCGCCCCATGTACAGTGCCTAAAGTCCTCGAGAGCGGGCGGCCCAGGTTTGAGTCCGACCTGTGCCTCCTCTCTCTCTCTCTCTCACCGGTTTCTGACTCTATCCACTGTCCTATCTCTAAAATAAAGGCGTAAAAAGAAGCCCAATAAGACACTTTAAAAATAAAAATATAAGATAGTTGAGAGCTGAAACACTAGTTTGTCAAACAATTTCACGACACTGTTTTCAAAATGTAGTTCAAAGGTTTAAATAAGATTTTAAAAAATGTGATTTCAAAATAAAATGTAAAGAATTTAACTTAAGACTTCTAAATTTTAACAAAGCCAGTTAACGCTTCATAGTGGAAAATTAAATCCTTTTATATATATATATATATATAACGAGGAGAAAATAAAAATAGAGGGCTGACTACATTATCTTTTCTCTCCTTGTCAGATTTGGAAGTCTCCAGGCCTGACGGCATCTTTTGGATAATTCTCACTCTCTCATATATCATCATATATTACCATATTTTTTATAGTAATATATTGAGCCTTGGTGTACATGTGTCCCAAGTTTCCCGTCAGAGGAAACTGAAGGTGAATGTTTCATCACGGGGACTGTGTCTATTCTCAGAAGTGACTCTGGCCCGAGGGGACTCGATGACATCATGAGTGTCTATATTTGGAGGGGATATGGGCCACTGATGATGACGCGTGAGCACCTGAGGCTTCCCATCCGCATGAGGAAGGACAAGAAGAAAATTTAAAAAAATACATCTGAAGGCATCACAGATCTGACTCTTTGGCCTCGGATGTTTTATTCTCGACGGGTTGGTTCTCAATCATTTGGAATCGCGAATTGTAGGCTCATAAATGCTGCTATCACACAGACTCAGGTTCTGGGCTTATCTGAAATGACCTTATCCATCTCGTCCTCCTCATCCTTCATTACTCACAGAGCTGCGATGTGAGGGCCAACAGCAGTTACAGCTGGATGTGCGATCAGTGAGGACACAATTTCCTCAAACAAGGTCAGAATGCTATTTATTAAATATTATTAAACATTTGAAAACATGATTATCTAATAAGACTTAAAGTGACTGTGGCTCTTTTCGGTTGCCTGTACTGGAAAAATGTCCAATAAAAACATTTTTATGAACAGGCTTTTAAGTGGATCATTCAGTTAAAGGTCACATATTATGAAAAATACACTTCACCATGTTTACTGAACATTAATATGTGTCCCTATAGTCTCTCTACAAACCCCCCAATTATGAGAAAAGTCCATCCGCTCCATCTTTTTCCTGCTCCACTTTTCAGAAAATGTGTGCTCAAACAGGCCGTTTGGAGATTTTCCCTTCATGACATCACAAAGGGCAGTAGCCCCTCCCCCAGGTGGGTGACACTCCCACAGCTAGGTGTTTGTTCTGCACTCTGAGTCTGCCTTCTCACCGTAAACAATAGAACATGGAGCGAGAAAGCCTGAGACACCCAAGCCCTTCCAGAGAGGGGCGTGGTCAGACACAGCTCATTTACATATTTAAAGGTACAGCCACAGAAACAGCCTGTTCTGAGCAGGGCTGAAATAGAGGGGTTTATAGACATGATCAAACACAGGATCAGAGTGGATTTAGAACAAGAAACTTCACAGACATGTTTTAGGGAGCTTTAAGTGTTTGTATATTTCTTAGATCTCTTGTGTATTACTTTGTCTCCCTTTAAAAAAATCTATTTTGGCCAACGCTGGCCAAAATAGATATAATATATATAATATAATTATAGCAGTATAAGCATTTGTTATATTTCAGTCCAGAAATAGACCATACATTAAGCTGTTCTTTAAACTAATCAGACTGAATACACACAGATTGTCACCTAAAGATCAACCACAGCCTACATTTCTGCAATTAAAGTACATACTACAAATAAGCCATTTGATTAGACACTTTTAAATTGACCTGCTTTATTTTGTTGGACTGACTAGTCAGGATTTATTGGCTGAATAATGAAAACACTTCCTGTTAATGCTCCAGGAAAAGGGGCTGCACAAAAACACTACACAGGGTTCGGGGTCTCTGTTTAATTCAAAATTAGATTGCACTAGCCCTCTTTGATTTAGGTTTTATTACCATAAAAACAAATGCTTGGGATTGTTCTACCTACGTATTCCCCTTCAATTCTAGTAAGCATGGTCGTATATTTTCTGGTATGAGATTTGTCTCTATTTTGAAAAAAAACTTTAAACTAATTCATCTTTAAATTCCACTTAATGATTCGACAACTCCAATCTAAATACACAGCAAGCTAGAGAACTGCTAGCCGAGTACATACATTACATGCCGAATAATGCATCGCCGTTGGTTCAGTTCTGACAAGGATATTTGTTAAGTGTCTTCACCCTCTCACTCCCCATTTTCAGTCTGCAGCTTCACTTCCAAATTGTCCCAAAAAAAGCAAAAAAGTGCTGGAAAATAAGTAAACCACACAAACAAAAACACAACTGGTTAAGAATGTAAATTTACCGTGAGGAAGTCGGTGAGCTCGCTGTTCAACAGATCCTTCAACTCGCCCTTGTTCAACTTGTGTTTGTCTCCATCATTCCCTGAGTAGTTGTAGAAAACTGTAATCAGTGCGTCCATCGCACCCTCGAGCTGGCTCGGCATTCTGCTGGAAAGTCGATAACTCAGCTGCTTCCTGGGAAAGAAAACATGTCAGCAATAAGACATTTTTTTTTTAAAACGAGAAATAAAAGCAAAGTGTTTCTACAGACGAGGGGTTCTTACCTGGTTAGAGTCCCGTTCAGGTCTGATGAAAGGTGTGGAGGCACAGCTTGTTTATCAGGAAATGACGAGAAGCTAAGTGTGCCGTCCTCTATCTTTGCTGCGATAATTAATTCCACAGGTGAGACGCCCATGGTAACTGTCTTTCTTTCCAGGTTTTAATCAAGGCCGTTAAGTGAAAAACATGTACCAGTGTAACCCCGAAGCCCCCATGGGCCCTCACGTATGTATCTGCACCACTTAGATCCCTGAAGAGGCTTCAGTAATAGCTCATCAAAAAAAAAGAAACGAGGGAGAACCTATCCGACAAATGTTGCAGACAGAACCCAAAGCACATTTTTGTCTTAATGATTCAAGCCGATCTTAACTGCTTTCATTCATCTGCATGAACAATGAAAACAACATGGCGCTGTTAGTATATGTATGATATTATACACCGGTGATGTAGTGAAGTGTGACTGTAGCCCTGTGTCTCTGTGGCCCCTGATGCGTCCTCGTCTTTGGAAACTTGCAGCAGACAGCAGGGGAATAAGTTCTGAAATAGATGTGACATGTTTTGCTCGAGGGACACTACAGGTTTCCATTTTTGTTTCCTTTTCTTTTCTCCACCTGAGTTGACAGACAATGAAGTTTTCCTAACATACTCTGAAACGTATACCCACATACTGAACTTAAGATCAACTTTCTTGTTTTTTTACTGGCATGTTAAATACTCTGCATCGTTGTCACTTAACCAATTTTATTTTTTGTGAGTAAGACAGTGTCACCATTGCGTTCTATCCATTTGTAAAAAATCATAATTTTTGCACGAGTATGAGACACCAAACACTTCAGAGAAAAGGTATTTGCTGACCTGTGAACTTGAATAGACGAGGGGAGCGCTCTCTTTTTTTGCTCATGCCAGTTTTGGGTTAAAAATACGACTGAAGATCTGAAGTTTTATTTTTTAAGATTCTGTACTTTTTCCAATACTATCATCTCAATCAATAAAATGTTCCTGATGAACATAAAAAAGGACACATTACTAAATCATAATTTCAAAGTGGTGCAGAAAACCTTCAAATTGTGCATAAATATTGATCAAATCGAGGGAAAGATGTTTCTGGTGCTAAAGATGTTCTGCGTGGGAGACCTCCAGACCTCCTACAAAGATAATAATAATAATAATAATAATAACTTTATTTATATAGCACCTTTTAAAAACACAGGTTTACAAAGTGCTTTGACAAACAGCAAAAACAAAAACAAACTAAAGCAAACACAGAAGAACATAAACAACAGTAAGAACATAACAGATGCAAAATACTAAAAATAATTAAATACTATTCAACAGAAAAGAACCCAAAGTGCATGATACCCAACAGACATATATAACCCGACCATCACAAGAACCATCCTAAGAATCCAACAACACGAGCTGAGACCAAGAGGACCAAAGATTTAAAAAGATGTAAGAAACTAAGAGTTAAAAGCAAATAAAAAGAGAACAGCAATAAGAAGGTAAGAGCAGAAAAAGAAATAGAAACAAGTGGTTAAAGGATCAAAAAACCCAAAACTATAATATTAATAAAAATAAAAAGTAAATATAAACATGAAACATAAATAGACAAAGTAAGTAAGATAAGAAATTACCAAGTTAAAACATAAGAGGAGTTAAGATAAGAGCATAAATAAAAAGACAGTAAGAAGTAAAAGAAGATAAAAATAGTAAAACCAGTAAGAAAAGACTTTAAGAAGGCGACATCACATAAAAGTCTGTAAAAGTAGGTTTTAAGAAGATGTTTTTCAAATAGACTAAACTTGTCAGTACAGTTTTTGTGCATTTAAAAAGATTATACAGGGAAATAAATTTGGTTGAACTGATCAGTAACTTGCAAAATAGTCTTAAGAAGAGAGTATGAAAACAAATTGTGATAAAATCATGATTTTGCAACAACAACAAAAAAATAATCCTGATATGATATTTTTCCGATATCGCCCACCTCTACTGACTGGTATCCAAAAATATAGAAAAGTACTGAAGTATTGATCAATTTGACAACTTTATTAACAACAAGGTCATTCAGCTGAAGCCTTATGTATACATTTGCACATATAGCTGGCGTCTGATCCAAATGATAGGTGGGTGTTGTAGCTGTTTACCTTGAGACTAAAGCCCCCTCCCTGCAGTCTCTGACCCTCAGCACCTTGCTGTATGTCATTCCCCACTCACTTGCCTCATTTATCCGTTGTTCTCTACAATTAGGGGGGGAAATGTTTAATGTTCAGAAGCCCATGGAAGATGTGACTGAGGCTACGTCTATGTTTTATACAAACTAACACTCATACCTTGTAATCTGAAATCTGAAAGCTTCTCATTGTTAGTTTTATATTTAGCAGCAGCAGCCACCACGTGTCACTTTGTGTCCCGACGTTTGCTCTTTTTACACGACTTCCCCTCCCTTTGTCACCGTGTCTTAACTGACAGTGGAGAATAACACTTCATCCAAGCCCTCAGCCCCCAAAGATAAACACCCGAGGGACGTCAGTTGTCAGGTGTGCTCGACACTTTTCTTCCACTTGCTGCCACTGTCACGGAGAAAATAAGTTTCCATTTGTTAAGCTGATGAAACTGTTTACTTTGCAGCTGCCGTGCGTGGAGCAAGAAACTGACCGTGTAATCCTGAACATAAACTGACATCACATCGATGCACTGGATGGGAAATTATTTCAAAATATTTCAACAGATTCAACAAAACGTTAAGTTTCTCAAAAAATCTGATTAAAACGATTATTATTTGGAAGATAGTGAAAAAAAAAAGCCTCTTTTTAATAGTTTAGTTTAGCACACACCATCCCTCATCACATATAATTTCTGAAGACATCATTTAAATAATTTGAGGTAAAAACAGAGAGAAAACACAAAACAGGTTTGCATAATCAAGCCTGTATCGTAAAGAAGGGGATAAAGCTTTAAGGTCTTAAAGTGGCTAAAATCCTTACCAACTTTCTACATGACATATAATGCATTATTTTAAGTTGCCTTGTGCACCCTAAGGTCCTCTGCAGTGTCATAACGGTCGATACAAGGACAAAATAAAGTGACGCTTCTATTCTATATGTGCCAAATCTTTGAAATGTCTCACAACTTTAAGGTCATGATTTCTTCATTTGTCCACAAATAATGAATGCTAAACATGTAAACTTTTAATGTGAAGTATGAATCAAATACTCAACTATAAGTTCATCACCTGCGCATGTAATGAAAGTTCCCGTCTCTGCATCAAAGATACAAAAGAGTTTATGTTTTTGATGCACGCAGCACGACGCAACATGCTTCTTAGTATGAGATTAAACACAATCTTTAATCTTTTCCTTTGGGAACAGAGTTTGCAGAGGGTGAAAGGTTATACAAGTTATCCTGAAACTTAGCACATTGCAATAAAATGATTGTGTTGAATGCTTCAGTGTGTTATTAAAAACACGTTTGAGTGAACTTTAGCACGCTCATTTGGGAAAATCTCACAAATTCCAGTACAAATTAAACAGATCTTTTCATATATATATATATTCTCTTCAACTTTCTTGATTGTAGACGTACTGTTGCTGCTTTTTCCAATTCTTAACTTTATTTCTCCGTTTACCGTCATCCACCAAAAACACAGAGAGAAATCAAACCAACTTCTTCATTCTGAAAGGAGAAAAGTGCCGAGCCAAATGTTGGAGATGTGGAGCCTTGGGGTTAAAACGAGTCTGACAGAGCAGCTAGCAAAGCTGTAGACTCTCGTTTCCTTTTTGTCATACTGAGGCGTGAGATCAAACCTGCTGATATCTCACTCTGAATCATGTTTCCACTCCTCTGCTGTGCCCGACACTAACTCGAGGCTGTGTCTTTTACTGCTACAGAGGCTGAAGGAGGGGGTGAAGTCCTGCACCTGTTGATATGAATCTCTCCCCGTTCCGTTTTGAATTGCCCCCCCGGGGACAAATAAAGTTTTTTGAATTTGAATTTGAATTTGTTCCTTTAATAACTTCAGCGGTGAAATCTCATGATGTCACACAGACTTGGCCAAAAAAAACTGTCTTTACCGTTGAGTGGACAATGATGAGCATGAAAACAGGTCATGGAAACAACTAAGGCTGTGCTTTTTTAATTTTCCTCAGGACACTTTCCAGACAACAGGAGAGTGTTTTTTTTCTACTGTCTGTAAATGGTTAGATTATTATTATTTTATTTTATTTTTCTGCCTTTATTTGAGAGATAGGACAGTGGATAGAGTCAGAAATCAGGGAGAGAGAGAGAGTGGGGAACGACATGCGGGAAAGGAGCCACAGGTCAGATCTGAACCTGGGCCGCCTGCTTGGAAGACTACAGCTTCCATACATGGGGCGTGCGCACTAACCACTGCGCCACCAGCGCCTCAGATTATTTTTTTAAACTCAAATGACTTTGATAATCCTGTATTAGAGATAGTAGGAAGCCAAAATAGTTGAAGCTTGATTTATTTCCCAGCCCTACATTGCTTTTAAAGGTGTAAAACGTGAAAATGCGAGCAGGTAAATAGGCCCAACAACACATGATCAGTAGAAGTCAAAGTTAAATTGAAGTGTGTTTCCCTTTTTTCATTGCTTTAGTGCCAATGGCCTTTTTGAAAGACTTGATTTTTACTGCCCTCTACTGGTTCATAGTGGGTATCAGAAAGTGTGCAATCTGTTATTACCTCTGTTCAGTGAGCATCATGTGTACACTACTTACTGCTATACAGTAATGTTTATGATAATTGAGTCCAGCTGTAAAAATGGACAAAAGTATGAACACTGATTTACAGTTAAATACACAAAAACGACATTTACCTGTAGCTCTGCAGGATTTACAGCACACACACACACACACACACACACACACACACATGCGCACACAGTATTTTCACTTGCATCTACACACATGATTTACAACCGCCTACAGAGTACAATACACCACTACAAATACATTTACCTGTATCTCAACCACACCGGATTAACAGCGCAGGTATTATCAAATCACAACAAGAGCAAACAGTCCATTAAAAAAATCACATCCGCCCCAACCAAACTTACCTGAACGGTGCATCACCTGTTGGAGTTTCTTTTCAGCGGCCTAGAAAGTTGCAGCGTTATTTTCATATACCACAATAAATGCGATATCTTAAAACCTTAACCAGCATTAAACTTGTGGACATTTTTTTAGTTCATGTCATTATTTTTTTATTGGCGTTTTCGGTGCTTATTAAGCATAATATATTTGCAATTAATTAAACTCTGCTCTTCTCGGTCTTGATTTCATTTTGTCAGTTCCCGCTTCACCTCTGACGTCATATGGACGGATCCACTTCTAACAGGTAAGGGGAGGAGAAATTACACATAGATTAGTGCCATAGTTTACAGTCAATAGTTGGTAGGTACCAATATGGCCATAGATAAATATTTAATAAATATGAGTGTTGTCAGCATTAAGTAGTTAATCAGGAGTGCTCTCATCTTAAAAAATTCAAAATAAAAGCCTTTCAATTTTTATTATTAAATGCAAAATAATGGAATTTAAAAAAATGCAAAAATATTAATTGCGATTAAAAAATGTAATCATATGATATCCCTAAACAATATTTATTATTAACAATTCCAGAAGTTTTAAATTTATTGAAATTCTTTTATGTCTGATTATTTTTTTTACCATTAAGGTGCCTTTTTGTTCTTATTTATATTTCCACTTGTATCGTTATGTAATGGCAATTTTCCAATTTTTCCTTTGCTCCAATTATTGCCATTAATACACAGGTAGGGGTGAAGTCTTACGCAGATGCAAACAATGATTTTCCAGCCGTTATTATAGTTGAGTTGAGGGTTTATTGAAGTGACTTGATGGAAATACGAGAACAAAAAAACAAACCATTTCCAGAGAAGCGTAGCCAGCAGAATGAATGAATTGTAGTTTGTCTGTGTGCTGGTCTGAAACATGAATGCTGGTCTGGTGAGAACTGTCTGTGCTCCCCGTACCTGTGCCTTCCCTTTCCTGTCACCTGTGCAACTATATATACATGCCCTTGTGCATTCAGTGTCCCTAGTGGAAAATAATAAGTTCAGATAAATCTAATTATACAACAAGCCAAAGGTAAACACAAAATGACTCCTACACATTAGTTAACTTTTTGAAAGATGAATAAATACAGAGAATCATGAGGACAAACTCTATATGCTGATGATGTCATACGACTGCTGTATGACGTTTTACGCTGTTTTCCATTGTGCCCTTAGTATTTTTCTCACAGGTAGATCATTATTTTCTTGTTGTAGACTTTTAACTTGAACTTTTTTTTTGCTTCACTTGTTTTTGTTTTGTAAAGCGCTCTGTATCTTAGTTTTGAAGGCGCTTTAAGAATACACTCAGATGACAATATTTCAAACTGAGGATGCCGTATTAATTCATTATGTAACAATGATGGTGTTTTTCTTATATAATACATGAAACTGAGTCATTTCAGTTCACTAATGCCAGACAAGAAACATGACTCATGCGTTTGTGGTCAAATAATTATCAACCGGCCATAGTCAAAACGTTATGCAAGGTCAAGTTAATCCAACGGATATAACATGATATTTTTTAAAACTTCCCACCCTGTACCAAATAATTGTGTGACTCCATAGAAACATGGGCTGTGATTTTCTTTCCCTGTAAACAAACAGAGCAAAAGCTTGACAACATTAGAAAGGAAGTACTTTTGAATTCATGTCTCTCGTTTGACAGCTCTCTATGATTAATTACTCTCGGGGGTTCAAGTTGGTCGAATGTGTGTTTTTTGGAGTGTGTTTGTGTGTTTTTAGAATTAGACAGTGACATAATGGGGACTTGCTTTTCTCTTGGTAGAATTGTCAGGCAAAAATTAAGGATTAGGAAAAAAGTCTGGATAATGCAGATACATTTCCAGGAAAGTAATTGAAACACAATTTAAGTGTTTTGGTGACCTGACATGAGATTAAAAACGTTGACAGTCTAAATTCAAAGACGGGTCAGTGGAAGAAAACTGCCGGAGATTTAACTTGATGTTCTAATTCTTTCAATGAAAAACTCTGAAACACTTCCCCCTCCTGTGTCTCCGTGTATTAAAAGTCAAATTCAGCAGCAGTCGGAAGCTCTCTCTCCATGATCTGGGTCGGAGATGAGAGCGGCTGTGGCCCGGCTCCTGAGCCCTGGCTGCGGTCCCTGTGCTCATGAAAAAGCGTCTTTACAGAGCGGCCTTCTTTTAAAACACAGAGGGGGTTTTTAGGGGAGGGGGGGTTGGAGGTGGGGCTTGAACATACATAAAAGCCTTAGACGGCCCGCCAGTCCAATTTGGCACAACATCACCGGACAATTTGCTGTTGCCTAACCTATGAGAGGCCGCACGATTGGATTCTCTCCATTCATCGTCTCCTCGTTAGAGAACAATCCTCTTGGATCGGCCCTCTTTTTGGAAGAGAAACACAGCATCAGTGATGAGCGCAGGCGAGTTACTCACAACTTTATTCTGGATGTTGGATGTGAATAACGTGACCGGGTGTCAGAACCAGGCCTTGGTGCTGCAGCCGGCCTGGGACTACCTCCACCAGAACCACCATGACCTCCTGAGGAGCCCTCTCTTCCCTGTCGTCCTCTCCGTCTCCACCTACTTCGTCTTGGTCGGGCTGTACACCGTCCTGGACTTACTCGCACCCACCTGGCCCTGCATCAACCGCTACAGGCTCCACCCTGACCGCCCCGTCACCCGTCCTAACATCTGGATGACCTTTGGTGTCACCATCTACAACCACGTCTTCTACATCTTCCCGTCCGCAGTCGCTCAGTGGATGTGGAGGCCGCCAACGCCTCTGCCCTCCCAGGCGCCCACTCTCTGGAGCTTCTTCCTGGGCATCGTTGGCTGCATGGTGGTCTTTGACTTCCAGTATTACCTGTGGCACCTGCTCCACCACCGGATACCGTGGCTGTACCGTACTTTCCACGCCGTGCACCACCAGTACAGCCAACCCTTTAGCCTCGTCACTCAGTACCTCTCCGGCTGGGAGTTGTTCAGCGTCGGATTCTGGACTACAATCGACCCCATCCTGCTCCAGTGCCACTGCCTCACCACTTGGGGCTTCATGGTCTTCAACATCTACGTCTCCACCGAGGACCACTGCGGCTACAACTTCCCCTGGGCGCTGCACAACCTGGTGCCCCTTGGCCTCTGGGGCGGCGCCCCGAAGCATGACACGCACCACCAGCGGCCCGGCACTAACTTTGCCCCTTTCTTCTCGCACTGGGACTGGCTGGGGGGCACCAACACCGTGCCAGCAGCCGTCGGCGACGCTGCTGCAGCAACGGGAGAGGACGAGATGAAAGGGAGGAAAGACTAAAGAACTCGAGTTAATCTCTCATTGACTCTTTTACTCAAACGGCCTCTTTTGTCCCCGCTCTCATTCCTGCACTTTTTTTTTCTCTCTCTTCTCTCCCACAGATCTGTTTTCTGCCGCTCCTGATTACCTGCATGTTTCATATTATTATAGTGATCGGCATATTTCGATTAACACCTAGAAAAAATATGGATATTCTTTTTTCTTAAGGAGCTCTAATGTCGCGCTAAAAGTAAATTTTGGGGGAAAAATTATCTCATACGTCCTTTTGTACATGTATTTGTGTATTTCCTCAGGACACTTTCCATACAACTCTTAACATGCTTCCAGCTACAAATTAAAAACAAAACGGAATGAAAATTGCTTCTTCATATATCTCACTACACTAGATCTTAGTATTTAGCTGATGGTAGAGGGGTGCGATCTGTCAGAGTGATTACACAGTACACTCTTCCTCCTCAGCGCTGACCCTCTCACACACACATGAATAGAGGCCCTTTTAGTTGCATCCCAGTATGATGCGTGGGCGCAATACTAATCCACCTCCATCTTCTCTTTGAGGGGAGAGTAGTCTAACTGGAAGAGTCCTAATTAAAGTCTTAAATGACGACATATTTTTTCATGCAAGATGTGAATTGTGGATATAAAAATGAAACATTTTAAAGATGTCTCTGCAGCGGCAGGGGTTGTTGTTTTTTAATACTTTTTAGCTAAAGATCACTATAAGAAGTGACATAATTTTCCATTGATTTTGAGATTTTTTTAGACAGAAACTGTTTGAAATTAAGTTTTTGTTCCCCTAGATTTTATTTTATTTTGAGTTTCCACTTCACCTCAGCAAAATTAGTTTTTCCTGTATGTGGTTTAAGTTGCAGTTCAAGAAACTCACCACCAGAGGTCACTTTCCCTCAGAGCAATAATACTCATATTTTGCAAAGACAGCAGATTGTGAAGTACATGTTTTGACAGATTAATTTGTAGTCGAGGAAACCTTACACATATATTTGTGTTTTAGGAGGATATCATATGATACCACACAGGATATGTGGTGTGCCATACCGTAGTGATCAGTTCAACTATGTGTGTTACTCCACTGTCTTTGTTGTCACACACTCTGTGACACACAATGGCGGTCAGAACAGGTTTGACATGTTTCTGGTTGGCTCGGGGGACTGACAGTTGCATCAGCTCCTGCTCATTTTAGAAATAGGAGATTCTTCACGCACCTCTGTTTGTGTGTCGTTAAGGCAATACGGCATATTCTTAAGAAATAAAGAAACAGGCTGTGTCTCCGGGTCAGCAGCTCTTGTCAAAAACAACAAACGAGGTGCACACTCGACAATAAACTCAGTTAAAAGGTGCACGGCTGCAACAAGACTAGAAAGATATAAAAGCATGCACAAAAATGTCCTTTAGGTTTTCTTTTAGCTCTCATCAGCCTACATTCTTGCCATCAGTTGTGATTTTTTTAAAGGGATTCAGGTTGAGCTATTTCCCGTAGAAAGACTCATTTCTGGAGATTTTGTTTTGGTATTTAATAACATAATCAACAAGCTCTTTACTCCCATTGTTGGAATGCATTCAGTGCCATTTCTCAAGAAAATAAGTAGAATACTTTGAATTTGTATGCTTGACTTTAATCATGCATGTAAACAGGATTGTCAAGGACTGTACGGCCATACCATACATGCTGTAACAGAGAAATATGCAACACAATCCAGCATATACTGGAACCCCCTCCCCCCATGAGAGTTTTAAAGTCCTTCATTATAGTCATGGCTGACAGAAACTAAGATTAGGTTTAAGATTAGATTAAAAGGCATAATTTAATGGACACATTTTGACATGGCTTCTTACTGTAATCATTAACGTTTTTAAAACATCTCTGCAGCACGTTAGTTTATCTTAGCCTGCATGAAACTGCACGCTCGATCAGCAGGTTGCAAAGTCCACCAACCTGACATCATTCTTTTTTACTCTTCAACCTCCTGTTATATAATATTTGTTCAATCATAAAAACAAAACAAAAACAAAGCTAATTCCCTTCCCAGGAACGTCCTAGAAGCTAATGTTTACAGGCTGAACAAACATTGAACACTGAGCTATGTGTTGCACCGAACTGTTTGGAGTGCAGCCATGTAAATATGTCTGCACATGTGAAACAATCATGAATCAAATGGAAAACTTTGCAGTCTCTTCATACAAACCCATGCCTAACATGGCCTTCACCTCAAAGCTGCATGTGCAAAGACAAATTGCATGGTTTAGTAAAGGTCCTGCATGTTCGATTACGAGGAAACTTATTATTTTGAAGGTGTGTACACTGACATCATCTGCCTTATATTTCTACATAATCATGCACAGTCATGTGCAATAGGAAATGACAAGCCCTACATTATTCTTCACTAGTATATTCATCTTTAAGCAACAAATGATTGTCTAATTTAATACATAAAAGAGTTTCAGCGTGGACATTTTTACCCCCAATCACAGCATTCTTTATTTCAAAAACTGACAGATAAGATCATACTTGTGATTGTGTGTGAGTATTTCTATGTTTACCCTGCTCACACAGTGTAAGTCACTGATGCGTAAAAGAAGCTGTGTTTAAATATAACACAGCCAGGGAGTGGCTCTGTCATTAACATGCGACACAAAGGCAGGCAGGCCAGCTGCATTGACAAAAGGTAAGACGACACTCCGCAACAATCATTTACCTTTTTTAAACCGACGAGAACTCTGCCTCGACCAGTCATTACACAAGAAGCTATCTCTATTCACAATGTGTGTGTGTGGTTACCTGGGGGAGGGGGCTATTCAAGCTGGGGTTATCAGTTCACTAAATTCTTACCTAGAGATAAAAAAAGAGCCCCCTCTTGGTTCACAACACCACTGTTGTTGACGGTAAATTGTCTTCTGTAGATTTGAACTAAAATATATATAGTTCTATATATATATATAGAACTATATATATTTTAGTTCTTGCTCATATGTATGAGCAAGACTGCATGAGCTTTAAGAGAAAAATAAAAGATGATAAAAGGATGCCTGGGGAATGTTTCCAGTGTATCATATGTAGGTGAAACGAGGCCTGACACTGAAAAGAGGGGGAAGAAAACCAGTTTAGGTTCACCTCACTGACATGCCTCATCATGCCCTGAAAATTCTTCAACCCTCTCCAAGTTGACTGAATTTCTTTCCTGTTCATCCTTCATTAAAAAAACAAACAAACAGCATATTAAACAACATAGTGAACAAAAAAAAAAGAAAGACTGGTCCACTTTATGACAAAAACCAGAACCACACATTCCATGAATTCCAAACATTTCCACAAGTCGGGGTAGAAGGATCCATGACGATGAGTCTCGTCTGCCGGGACGGTGAGTCAGGAAGTTTCATCAGTTGCGCAATAATAAAGAAGTATCACAGAAACTGCACAGGGTTGTTGTCTCATCATATATTTTTATTTTTAAAAAGTAACAATAAACCAAGTTTCATCTTTCACAAGCTGTTTAAAAAGACAAGAGTTTGCTGACAGATTAAAAAGCAGAATGAATATTAAATACACAATGTCATGACTTGCCCTTTATCATTAAATGGTCTTCAGTGCAGGCAAGGAGTCAGTCAAAATACAAGGAAGGGGAAAGGATAGTTCAGTCACACTCTCTCTCTCTATATATAAACACAGAAAACTAAAATATGCATTTATTCTTCACATTTAACACTCAACAGCAGTTCATGATGACGTTATATACATCTTTAAAATGTACTCTGCTCTCATCCAAACACATCCATCTTCACATCTAAAGGGGCAAATCGGTACTCACAAACACAGACCCCACTCTTTTTATGATATTTTGGAAACTAAATGTGTAAAAGATACCAATATCTGACAACGTAACAAATTTGTTTCCTAGTAAAAAAAAAAAAAAAAGATAATTTTCTTTAAATGTAACACCCTTTTTCAAACCAGATACAGCGGACTCATCGCTCACTCCAGAGAGACCAGACTCCATTGACAAAATCAGTCATTTTACAATCCATATTAAAGACATTGCTGATTCACTGTTGCCTCTAATGGTTTGTTCATTTTGTGTTTTAGACAGTTGGTTTGGCTCCAAAACTGTATTTCTGTAACGCAAAAACAATTAAAAAAAACTTACTGACCAAAGCTGGAGCACACATGCAGCTCTTGTACTCTGAGTTTACTCTGAGTTACTCTGAGGGTTTTAAGAAGACCAGATCAGCTCTTTAAAGTTCATTGAGGTTACCTGGTTCTGCCTGATGGCTTATGTCCATTTTATTTCTTCTTCTGAGTTGCAAATAGAGCAAGATCTGTGTGATTACTGTACAAGCACAGGCAGGCCTGATGGAGTCTCTGCCGGCCCTAACAGCTGCTGCTCTGTGTGTTCCCGCTGTCCGACACGTACGACTTGCTCTTCCTGGAGTATTTCATGGAGCTGAAGGAGACCCTCATCCTCTCCACGGTCCTGCTGCTCCGGCACAGCAGGGTGTTCTTCACGTGGTCCCTGAAGTCCTCGGACACAAAGTAGTAGATGAACGGGTCGAAGCAGCTGTTCAGACTCGCCAGGCACAACGTGGAGATGTAGAATCCGTAGCCGTTGTTTATGACTCCGTCTTTGAGGAGGGAGTAGTGCACCACCAGCATGATGTTACTGGGGATGAAACAGACGAGGAACGTCATCAGGACGGTGACGATCAACACCACGGCTCTGTGGCGGTTTTTCCCCGCCGCGCTGTCGTCCATGTTGTGACCGAGAGCTCGCAGTAACAGAACGTACGCCACCACGATGATCACGCACGGGACCAGAAACACGACCATGCCCATGAAGATGAAGTAGTAATAGGGCAGCTGGACAGAGGGGAACGGATTCTGGATGTCTTTGATGACGTTGACGTCGTGGCAGGTGGTGATGTTGGGGTCTTTGAGCCGGACCGTGTGGTCGTACAGGTACAGCGGCGTCGTTGTGAGCCAGACGAACGCCCAGATGGCAACGCAGACACCGACGGCGACTTTATTGTTCTTCCTCTGCTGGGACAGCGGGTGAGCGACGACCCAGTACCTCTGCACGCTGAGGCAGGCGATGAAGAGGACGGAGCAGTACATGTTCCCGTAGAAGAAGCCCACCAGGACTTTGCACAGCGGCTCGCCGTACGTCCAGTCGTTGCCGTTGAAGTGGTAGGCGATTTTTAAGGGCGTCCAAATGACGAAGAGGAGGTCAGCCAGAGCCAAGTTGACCATGTAGATCGAGGACGGGTGCTTCTTCTTCGTCCGGACGAGGAACACCCAGATGGCCATGCCGTTGGCGGGAAGTCCAATCACGAAGACGATGATGTACATGATCGGGATGAAGACGGTGGTGAGGTTGCTCTTCAGTATGTCAACCGTCGTCTGGTGTACCACAACCAGTCCCGAGTCCTCAGGGTATCCGATGAATCCTCGTCCTTTACCTAAAAAAATATATATATTATATTAATCAGGGCTGAAAATAAAATATTGACTCATCAATTGACAAAACTTAATTTACTAATTTGGGACGATCAGATAATCAAGGCAAACCTTAAATATCCAAATTAAGTTAAATAAAATCAAGTTTCCAAAATATCACACTGCCTCTTCCATTATTTTAAATTCTGTGAAGTTAAAAATCATTCAAATTGTTGGACAAACCCAATCGTGTACTGAGTAGGTTTGTCACGATACCTGCATTTTAAAGGCTTTATATGTGATTTTTTGATCCAGTAGATGTCGCCCTTGAGCACCAGCATGAAACCAAAACAACTTTTATTTTTAACTATTATCTTTATTATGCTCGTATCTTCACACTGCATGTAAATTTACCTGAAATGAGCGTGATCTAGAAACACAGTTAAGCAGTGAGTACAGTATGTTATTCTTCTTTTCTCTAGTCCCTCAATTAAACAACTTTATACACGAGGGGAGGAGTCAGCCGGCCGTCCTGGCGATGTAAACAAACTGAAGATAGGACTCTGAAAACTCTGAAAACATCACAGACAGTGGGACTCGGGTGTTACACCCATTGTAGACAGTCATGACTCACAGAGTTATTTTCAGAGGATATACTTGATTTATATTATATTTAAGTGTGAAAAATCACATATAAAGACTTTAAACTCCGATACGACACATCAAACGATATCCGTTTTTCTGCAACTGAACTAAAAAAAGACGTCATAGGAACCAAATATTGGGTCAATTCTAATTGTTAATAATCTTTCACACTGTCTTAACAGCACATATACATTTACCATGTTTACATATCTAAACCATTGTAAATGTATTTGTACTTTTGAGGAAAAGATAGTGTAACCTCTTCTGCCCTCTGTCTATTTGTAAGAGACATCGACATAACGTTTGTATCTCCACTTTTGTGACGCCAAAGGGATTAGAGATATGTCAGTATTTGCCAACCTATGAATTTAAACCACCAACGTGATTCTGTATTTCACATGTAGCTTTCTTTTATCTCATGTGAGCTGTTACGTATTTTATTTATTCTTCTGTACAGCACTTTGGTCAACTGTGGTTGTTTTGAAGTGCTTAACAAATAAAGTTGGATTGGATTGTAAAGATTCACTGCTTCGAATCGGTAAGTGATGGTAAAGTTAAAGCTCTGTGTGAATCAGTCCATGGCGCACTGGTTCTGTAAAAAGGTTAAAAACTGGTTGATGGTTAAAAGGTTATAAACTTGTTCACTGAGGTTTCGCTTATCCTGCATGTTGTGGTATGCTCAACCATAACCACTACTTCCCCTCACTCACAGCAGCTTTAGGTTAAAAATATCTCAACAGATCTGTGCTTATATTTAAAGCTTCAGTACTACTTTGTACAAAGTTTGATACTTTTGATCATCACATTTTTTAGTTTGTATCCTAAAATACAAGATATTGAAAAGTGTTGAAGTAGCCTAACAAAAAAGGTTGACACCCTTGGTATCAATATTTTAGCCAAACCATTATGTTCATAAAAACTTTTAAATTATTACTGTTCCTTTAAGTTTCAGATTCTAGGACTGCTGCTGGGAACTTACTTCAAAATGTCCTTGCCTAGGACTCTGGAAACAGCAGATTTTCAATATTTTCTGACACTTATAAGGCCAGATGATTGAAGATAAAAAAAAAAACCTAACAGATACATTTCAGCTTGAAATAAGCCTGTGTTGTAACCCTAGTGACAACATCTATGCAAAAAACCACAGTAAGGTAAATAAGACAATATCTTATTTACTTTAAAGACAATATAAACTCAAAGTTTGTACACAAGAATCAAATTATAATGAAGTTAAGGGGAATTAAGGTCGTTTTCTTTATCTCAGGAGGTTTGGAAGGGAAAAGGGAGAAACAAATTATTTAGTTAGTTCCACATTTGTTATTTTATTTTTGGGCTGCCTAATGAATAGACATGTTTGACTTTCTGTTTTCATTGTGAGCCACCAACTTGTAACCCCCCTCCTAAATAAAAATGTTTAAATACATATAAAAACATGGTTTGATTGTGTAAATCTATAACATAGTCTACTCTTAATGGGATATTTTGAACAGTAAGTAACGCAGAGGCTACATTCCCCCCTCCCAGTCTGTTTAGGAGCCGACCATTATTGAAGGTTAAACAACAAATGAAGATTTGAACGAAGGTTATTTGTTACACTTGCAAAAGCTACACATTTATCATTTAAACATAGCTTAAACCAAAAAGCTCTCCACACAGATGAGACTCCCTTCAGATGAGCCTCACTGGTTTGGTATGTAAACGACCTCGCTCTGAGAAACATTAATCACACGGAGGAAGTTACGACCTTACCTGTGGCGTTGACGGCAGAAACACAGCAAAATATTAACAGAAGCGACAATAAACGAGTAGAATCCATGGCTGAGAATTTTCGACGCTCTCAGCTTCTCTGCACTTTTACAGTCTCCCGTCCAACAACTTCTTATATGTCGACTAAACAGCTACAACAGTGAGGGACACACCCCGAGACTACCTGCTCGCACGCTGTCTACGTCACCCATGCCCCCGCCTACCACGCACACTCATTTACCAGACATCACGTTGCATTCCAGTTTCTGAGTAAAGCTCAAACACAGACAATAAATCAAAGTATGTTTTTTTTTTCCTTTTCGATATTTTAGACAGACCACATCAGAGAAAAAAAAATATTTCCCAATTTTCAGCTACAAATTATTTTACTTGAAAATGAAAAGAGGGCTCTTGACTGCCATTTTAGTATAAATTACTAGTATAACAAAATAGATAGGCTAACATTACATAGAATAGCCTACTTCCCTCTTTAGGAAGTGTGAAAGTGTGTCATAAATAGATGTTTGGGGTTTGGAAGAGGAAACATACCTAGCCTATATTTTAGTAGAGTAAAGTACAGTCAAGCCTTCAATGTGACATTACGTGATGGAATTCTATAATTGCACAAAACACAACAATGCAGCCAGCTAATGATTAAGTTGTTTTACACAATAAGAATTGTTCTTCAAATTGCCTGCCAATCAAAGCTGACAACTTTCAAACGTTCTTCTCAAATGTTCTCTTCTCACATTTCCGGAGTCCAGGACGAAAAGTTCTTGAACATTTGAAGTATCCGATTTTGTCTGGACTAATTTATCTTTCAATAAAAGGAAGAACATTTATTTAATTAGAGTTATAGTCTAAGGCAGACAAGAACTTTTGGCACAGAAATAAGAAACCTTGGAGGCCTTTTAAAAACCAGCTGATAGTGTGATGGAGGAAAAAAAAAAAACACATTTAGTTTTACAATTACTTTTTAATGACAAACTTCAAAATGTAATTCTACAAGTTAAAATGATAACATTTAAAAAGAAAACACACATTCCAGATAAATAAATTTGTTAAGCTTTTAACTTCATACAACATACGAGTGTTGCTCGTTAAAGACGTTTGGCACTTCATCAAACCTCGGACAAGAATCCATTTCAGTAAACACAGAGAACTAAGAGGTTGATATGTTAAAAACAGTAACAAATAAAATGAATCATATCCCTGTGAAATAAAACTTCATCAGCAAAGTGCAGTAAATAAGTTTTATTAATCAATGCCATTAAAAAAATAAAAAATGTAGACTATTTACAATCATTGAAATAACAGTAACTTAGACAGCTGGTAGGACGTCTGTGCTGCAGATGACTCTGCTCCATGTCCTCACTGCAGATTTGAAAAATAAACCCGTTTCATTTTATACCTGAAGGGAGCAGAATGAAGAACTTAAAAGAAGGATGCTGGGAAATAGTTTTACTTTTATTATTTCCATATTTCGGGGTCTAAATGACCAATAAAAGAATTTGCCTCAATGGATCGTACCTGATAAAAGATAAGCTGATCAAGATAAGGGCTCTTTTTTGCCGCTAAGAGGCTAAGATTATCTATTTCAGTATCTGTATTCAGTATACTTTAAACAGGTTTTTCTACCTGCAGGGATCACGTTACAGGCGTTACAGCTGCTGACTACGGCAATGTCCTGGAGCAATTCCAAAACCGGTTTCTGATCCCAAAATATGTTGAGGAAAAAATGGCGCCCACGTCTTAAAAAAACCCCCACTGGATTTACCCAGTAAAACCAAAACAATCCACTAGCAATCAGTGCTCCCAGTCTTCCCTGACGAGCTATACGACTTGCTCTTCTTGGAGTACTTCAGAGCGCTGAAGGAGACCCTCATCCTCTCCACCGTCCTCTCGCTCCTGCACAGGAATGTGTTCTTCACGTGCTGCCTGAAGTCCTCAGAGATGTAGTAGTAAATAAAAGGGTCAAAGCAGCTGTTGAGACTGGCCAGGCACAGGGAGGTGATGTAAAACCCATACAAGTTGTGCCGAGCTTCATTCAAGAGGAGGATGTAGTGCACCAGCAGCATGATGTTACTAGGGGTGAAGCACACTAAGAACATGACCAGCACGGTGACGATTAAAACCACCGCTTTTCGACGCCTCTTGGCGATGTTGGGGTCCGCCATGCTGTTCCTGAGCGCTTTGAGCATGAGGACGTAGGAGATGATGCACACGACTGTTGGGGCGACAAATCCTACGATACCCATCGTCAGGAAGTAGCCCGCTGCTACTTTCTTCTGACTGGGTCTGGTGATGTCATGGCAGGTATGGATTTTGAGATTTGTGGCGTAGACCTCCTGGTCGTACAAGTAGAGGGGGATGGTGACAAGCCAGACAACCACCCAGATCGTCACGGAGACGGCCACAGCCGTGCAGTTGTCCCTCTGCCGCTGGGAGAGCGGGCTGACCACGGCCCAGTACCGCTGGACGCTGATGCAGGCAATGAAGGCGATGGAGCAGTACATGTTGCTGTAGAAGAACGCCACCAGCACTTTGCACAGCACCTCGCCATAGATCCAGTCGTTGCCGTTGAAGTGGTATGCAATTTTTAAAGGGACCCAGATGACAAAAAACAGGTCAGCCAGAGCTAAATTAGCCATGTAGATCGATGATGGATGTTTCTTCTTGGTCCTAAACAGGAACACCCAGACGGCCATGGCATTAGTTGGCAGCCCAATGACAAACACGATGATGTAGATGATCGGCAGAAGACGGTCGTGAGGGTGCTGCTCAGGACTTTTTGGACCTGGGTGTTGACCCAGACCCCGTCATTGGTCTCTGTACCGGTGAAGCCTCGATCCTCTAAGTGACAAATAAAGAAGAAGTAGAGCAGGTTTATATGCAGGAACAAACTGAAAACAGTCATCTGAAACTCAAACAAAACAATGACAACTTTGGCCTGGATTCTCTTTGTAAGCAGGGCTTTTGAGCATGACTCATCTGCATTAACTTTACATAAAACATTTAAATGAAGTGTTAGGCTGTGAAAAACAGATGATTAAATCCAGCAAGACTAAATAAATAAACTAAATCAATGACTGAAGCAATGACAATATTCGACGCTTGTAGCTTTTTGTTTTTGCATAGTCACTAGTAGTGTAACTACGCGATTATTTCGAGACCATAAAAAAACAGCAGAACAGAAACAGAAATGAGCCTTACCTTTCTGTGACACGCACGTCTTCACGCAACACAACAGGAGGAACAGCAGAAAGCGTCGTGTCCTTAAAGTCATGGCTTACAAATTGGAGGTTAGAAAATAAAATAAGCAAGGATAAACGTCCGCGGGTGTTGACTTTGTTCGGTTTCTCCGTCGTTGTCTTCCTGCCAACCATGCCCTCCTCTTCAAACTGCTGGTTTTGACACCTAAAGTGATGTCATCCAGTCAGGTGACCGCGCGCAGCCTACGAGGGACACACCTGGGAAGATTCGTTCAGGTGTTATGCCGAGATCTGCACGCCTGCTGAGAATTGCATTCACCTCGCGGGACAAACAAAATGGGTCAATGCAGACACACTTTTATGCAGAATTTTGCATCCACCCTTAAATCTACTCAAACACTGTTTGCAGGTGCTTAAATTACACAAGCCAATGGAAATGCATTTTTTTTTTGTCAAGTCAACAGAAAAATAAGGACACTTAACTTTATTGAACTTCACATACTTTGTCATCACATATGATCCGAAGATTTATTCCGTTTTCTATCACTTCCCGCGAGGTGCATGTAGCCTAATTCTTGGCAATAACACCTGCAGGGCTGGTGGTATGACTGGGTTAGATGGTTCTGTTTTTCTGCACTGTAATCAATAATATCCGTTTACTTAGGCAACAGACACGGACTCTCGGCCTTTTGATAAAAGCATGCATGGAAATTAAGTAGGTGGTATATGCTATATTTAGCCTTCTCAAGTATGCTACAATAGGCTTATTTAAATTCAGGATTATGTTTTTTCGAATATTTCCACCTTAGCTACTACAGATAGCCTATTTACTAGTCTCAAAGACAAATATTTTCCTTCTTAGTGCAGTTTTGTCAGACGGATAGGTTGTTTTTCATAGAGGCCGAGCGGTTTCTCTTCCATTGTATGTCCAATGTTCTCTAAATATGGTGATCTATGGCAAGCTATTTTAACTTCCAAACTCCCTCTTACCACTGTCACTTATCACTGTTTTATGGCATTAAGTCAAAACGGGGTCCTCTCCAGATAAAACTATAGATAGGCCTACCATCAATAACATTCTTACTATCCACAATTGCAAGTGGTAATTGATATAGGCTACATAATGTTATTTCTGAAAGGACGTCACTATTTTCATTTAGCCTATGTGTAGGCCTGTAGTGCTTTCAATACTTCCTATCCAGAATGAACATTGAAGATATCTGTAGGCCCAATGGAAAAAAATACTTCCATCTCAGATGTCTACAATCAAATTGTTACAATGAAGTTACATTTTTTTATTTTGGATATTTCAAATCACTTTGAGAATATCTGGCAATATTTGTTAGAAAATTGGATGTCTGAAATCATAGCTCGGATTGTGGACAGGCTACATGAAGTGGGAGTCTTTCCTTTGAAGAGCTCAAAGGCAGATATTTTGAATGATGATATTTTGAATGATGATGGTGTAAATTGTGTTGTGAATATAGGCTATCAATCAAAATGGATGAGTTATCAAAACAATTTACCCGTAGGACTACAGGGTGTGCCCATCGAGATAGGCTATAATCTGAGAAATGTTTAATACAGACTAAAAATGTTAATTTCTGATGTAATTTCTTCTTTTTTTTTAATAGTATGTGACTTCTGGTGCTTCAGGTTCAACTGGACACTGGACCAATAGTCACAGTCTATGCACTACTAGACCGAGTTAATCTTTTTTGGACTTCTTCATCGGCTTCATTTTCAACACCGGAAGTTGCCCCTTGAACCAATATATTAAAAATATTATTGGAATGAAAGACATCATATATTCACATGAAGGGACATAATGCACCTACTTGGTATTTTATTAATTTATACAATAAATGAAAAAAATCTTACAGTATTCATGGTTAGATGTTACATTGACGGCAGTGACGTTGACAGTTGACTGTTGGTTGCTTGTGTGATTCTCTTTGAACCTCCTCATGTTGCAAGTTTTAAATACACAAGTCAAACAGTTTTAGGGATACAAAATATTACACATATACCTCATAAGTCAAATGCAATACATTTTTAGCAGTAAATCGAAACAGTTGATCGTTACTTTTATTGACAAGGCTGAACTTACAGCCGAAGTATTTATGAAATCTTCTGGTGCTTTCTTTGATGAGTAGTTATTTGATTGTGCTTGTTGTTTTGGCCTATATACTTTGCAGTTGATTTGTATTATATTTCACAGAATAGGCTGCTTGCATTATAGTCTACATTTGAGATTCATTTCAATTACAAACACTAAACTGGAAATACTTACATCTAGTCTTTCAGTACTTATATTACTTCTTACTGTTTTTGCTTCAAAATTAATATAGACCTACTCCAGACTAGGGCTGGGAAATATATCGAGTTTTTAAGATCTATCGATATATTTTCAAACAAGATATAGGGTAAGACAATATTGTTAATATTGGTATAGTTTATGTTGCATTAAAATAATGTTACAGAGGTGCCAGATCACTTTTTCCTCATCTCACTGATACTGACTGTCTGTCCCTCTTAACCCTGCTCCTCCTCTCTCTCTCTCTTTATTGTATTTAAGGAACATTTTTATTTTATAATATTAATCCTTAAATTCACAATCAGGTAGTTTATTTTTCCATGTGTTTTCAATGCAAATACATATCGATATATATATAAAGTATCGCCATTCAACTAAAAAATATCGAGATATGAGTTTTGGTCCATATCGCCCAGCCCTACTCCAGACCCACATAGGTCCAGTTCCTCAAATCAATTCCCTGACGCTACAGCGGTTCAGTTATTTGGGCCTATTTGAGGCATTTCTCAGCGAATACCTAAAATAAAGATGAAGTTGATAAACAGTGGTAAGAATAGATTTCATGCTGTTGCATATAGAGCATTACACATAGGGTAAAAAAAAAATTGAAGGACAAGTCACTAATATTTACAATATATCCTCCATCTTTCAAACTATACCGGCCTGTTCCACTTGAATTTTTCGGCTTGAGTATTTTGCAACTTCCAGCTTCTTTATTGCATTATGCAGTACTTGTTTAATCGTTTTGATTGATTGATTGATTGATATTTTATGATCCTTTACCTTTGCAGTACATTTCCCCCTTTTTATCAATTTGATTTATGTGAAACTTCTTGGTAATGAATCCCATTTTTTCCATTAGCATTTACAATCAAACATTGATGTGAAGGATAAATAATTTGACAGGAGACATAAAACACAGCTCAGACGGTTGTTTTCAATGGAATTGAAAGACTTAAAGATGATTTATTTCGTTAGTTGTTCCTGTACATTATCATAACTCTGCTGTAAGACTTAAACAAAGTGAAATGAGATGCCTTCCTTAAGGTTACATTTTATAAACAAATGAATAGCACCACCTGCTGGAGGACAACATAACCTGGAGAACAGTCAAATTAATTCTGACACACCTGAAGTAATTACAATTTCCCTCCAGCAGAGAGCAGTGTGACATTGCTGACTACACCATGAGGGGATGTTAGATCAGTGCATGACTGTTGTTGGTTTATGTTTCTAACACTGTGACATTGCTAAAAAAGTTAAAACTATTATTCCAAAGAATGAGTGTTATAAACATGGTCATTATTCATGTGCAAACTAGGACAGAATTCACATAATTTTTAAATGTGAAAAATAAGCTTTAACCGACATATTTACAGAGAATATAAAACAAATAACTACAAGCCCTTTCCTTCCATTTAATGTAATACTTATAGATTCATTTGCAGCTTAAAACACGGTAACAGAGAAACATGAAAGCGGTTCATAGTATCAGATGTTCATCAGAGTTTTCCAGCAACCCAATCTTATCAACTTCCTTCCTGTGGTTCAGTCAGCACTAAAAAAAGCTGTTACGCCTTCACATTTGTTGATATGAAACCAAACCTTTAACTTCTGTTGGTTTGATATCTTCCCTTTCATACAACCAGAAGAATAACTTTCATATTACTTTCAAAATAGAATATTTCAGCAGTTCCATGACCCTGAAATGACATGTAAGAGTCTGTCAAGTCAGTCTTGTCAAGTCAGTCTGCACATTTTGGAGACTAAATAACAAGGTACATGTTTTAGAGTTGCTCCATAGCTTTAGCCGAGCCACAGACCATGCTAGCTGAAAGGCATTTTTTTGGTCCAATGATGAACACAGTACAGTACCACAACAAGTGCTTGTTTTTGTTGTTGCTACTAACAGCCAGCAGCCTACAGTGACAAAACTGTATCCGCCCCCTCCTTCAGAACAGAGACGTTTCTGAAATTAAATTGAAGTCAATTCATGACTTCTTTTAAAAACAATTTACAAACAAAGGATTTTAAAAAAAGTCTGCATCAAGTTAATACATTCAAAGCATAGATATGAAAAATGTATTAAGAAATATAAAAGTGAAGCCTGTTTTCTGGCCTTGAAGCACAGATGCTTTTCAAAGATATTGAATTTCTTCACAATTGTTTTGACACATTATACACTTTCATTCCTGTTTTTGAAAAGTTCGGTCATAATTTAAACTGGTTCTGATGTATTTATCATCAGCCCAAACCCTTAAACCATCCATGAAAGTAGGAATCTCTCTGACTCATGAGCAAAAACACATTTTAAATATGTTTTTTTTGTTGTCTTGGGTTTCTCAACATGGCGCTGTTTTACGTGCTGCAACACGATAAAAAAATAAAAATGTTTCAATAATCAGTTTCTTGCGATTAGATCACACTGTTTTTTTTATCTTGTGTGCCCACCGCAAAATACAGAAAGGGCCATCAGCTGGTTAAAAATTTGTATCGCAATACATTTTCTGTCTGATCGATTTGAATTGTCTTTCATGTGTATCGCAAGGCATTGTTACATTCTAGTTTTAACTGTTATATTTGCAGCCATCTACTGAAGCAGATCCAAACTTGTTGTACCTACAGTACAGCTGATCTAGACAAAAACCTGCTGATTTTATCTCAGACCATAAGTTTCTTGTATTGGCTGCTGGGGCTTGCTTGGAAAGAGTCCATTTTGTTGAGTGGAGTGTTTGTTTGGGAGCTTTCTTTATGGCTGGATTTCAGAAGCGTTCTGCTGGAGGATCTGCTCGGATCCGATGATGAATGTTGAATTCTGCTGGTGCCCTGTGTGATCTTCTTACACCTCAGCACACTGCATAGCTCTCTCTGGAATTGAGATGATCCAAAATAGTATACCAGAGGATCCAGGAGGCAGTTCA